TTAATTACTAAGAAAATACTTTATAACCAAGAAAATCAATATAGAATGTATGATAGAGTATTTTTATTCTGACCTAATTTATAAAAAATGTTCATCTCAAAAAGGCTATAAATAAGATATCATTCTCTACAAATGGGGAGGTCCAAGAGCTAAGAGAACTAAAGGGCTCCCTAGCATTTTTTTTGTTATCACAACTGAAGACCACCGCTAATTATTGTAATACAAATCATTGCTAATCATCATTATTACCAATGAACACCACCAACAATCACCACCATAATCTCTTAACTCTTGTTAATATCTATCCTTGCTGTTGGGTATTAATTGTCTGACCACCTCTAGTAATCGCCACCTTATCTCTAAACTCTTTAAACCTCAATTGTCAAGATTTAACCCTATTGTTTGATATGAATTGTTTATATATGTACAACTTATTTATGCAATCCCTACAGGAGGAATCATATATTTGATTTCAAATTGTCATTTTCATTTCTACTATGAGAAAGAGAGAATTCTTAATCTCTTGTCGTATAAAAATTTTTCATTTGGGCCAGACCGTCTTTATTTTTTCTCCTTTCGAGAGATATAAAATAAGAACTCTATCAACTTAAATTTTCTAATATGTTATTAGATTATTTAAATATTCTAGTTTTTTAATCAATGAAATAAGCTTCAGAAAATTTTTAGAGAGTTAGCCACATGCTGAATGTGTTTTTAAAAAAGTTAATTGGGCACAGCTCACCTTTGACTATTGGTTGAGGAACTTTTATTTGGTCCGGTGTAAGGATGCAGAGGAACATTCGGTCGTAGGCAAAATCTCGCCTGTACCGAGATGTACCGAGTTTTTTGGAAAAACTCGGTACACCTCAGTATAGGCGGGATTTTGCCTACGACCGAATGTTCCTCTGCATCCGTTCGGAGGACGTAATAATTATTCATTGGTTGAGAGCTTAGACTTTTAACTAAGAGGTTTTAGGTTCGAATTTTTGTATATACGTTATGTGTATGAGTTTACCTTAAATGACCTAAACCTAAAAAAAATAATAATAATAATTAATTGGAATACCACGTGGTTTAAATCTAGCACATTACAATTTCTAAAGCTCTTCCCCAAAAAGACCAAAATGCCATTTAATCCGCGGTGACTACGCGTGGCCTGTAAGCTCTTATCGTTATCGACATCACTGACGTCAGCATGAAAATAACTTTCCAATATATCCTAAAATTACAAAAATGTCCTTAAGGTCAAATTCTTGTAGGTCATCCGATAGTTCGAGATTAAAAGCTATCTAAAAAAGAGTTTGAAGCCGTTTAATGCGCTTCAATTGGCTTCGTAATTCGTGCACTAAGAAAACCAATTAAGGAAAAAAGCTATGAGAAAGAACACAATCTTCTTAGTAAATCCAACGACTACGAACGGGCCGTTTAATTAATTCATAAAACAATCTTGGATAAGATTTTAACTAGAGCTTAATTGTTTAATTGCCGCAACTAATCCGACTGCGGTTTTATTTTTGAGTGCGATTGTTTTGGCAGAAGATAGCCCACAGTTGTCATCTAGCAACCTCCATATCCTTTTCAGAGATGCATAGAGTTGAATACGGACAAAGTGTGCTCTATCGAATATTTTATGCAATAAAGTTAAGGGACGTTGGGATCACATTTATTTTATTTTTTTAAAAATAAGTTTTAGTACAATAAATTTTTTACTAAAAAAATATTTTTTTTTTAAATAAACATATGTTTCAAATGAAGCCTTAGTGTAGGTTTGAGATAGTTATATCTTTTTATAAAGGTTGTTACAAAATTGTTCCGAGAAAAATGGCTTTTTCGAAAGTAATTATAAAAAATAATTTATTAGTATACAAATTTCTTAAAAACAGTAAAAAATAGTAGTTAATTTAATAGATAATATATATATTATAATTGTAGCATGAAAAATAAAAAATTAAGAAATTTATCTCAAACAAAGTCGATCTTAAACTTAGGCTTCGATTGGGGCATCTTTCTTGCTGCTTTTTAAACTAGTTTTTCAGTACAAAAAAATTTTAATTTTTATACTACAAAGTTATTTTAAAAAGCAGTAATAAAGCAATCCTAAACAAGGTCTTAATCAAAATTAAGAAAAACTCGAACATAATTAGTCAAATATACAATAAGGCTTTGAATGAGAGAGCTTTCTTATTATTTTCTAAAACAACTTTCGAGAAAATTTTCATATAAAAATCAAGTTAGAAAACAATAAATTTTTTTCCCAAACTAAGCCTAAGAAGAATGACGACTCTATTGATTGTGATGAGCAACAATTGTAAAAGCTATGAAGGATTTTAGCGTTAGTGTAACAACATCCATGCTAAGTTATTGATTACAATGGGCAATAATAGATGTCAATATTAAAATATAATGATAGGTTGCTTAGCGCATAAAATTAAAAGAATATTTGATCCTTAAATAATTTCTGGAAGTTTTTCAACTCATATATATTTGATTTAGATTCGATTGATTTTAAATTGAGATATTTTCTTATTTTATTGAGTTCATCTAATCTATATGTTTTTCAATTATAAATTTACCAAAAATAAGATTTAGAGATCATTATGTCAATTTTAAAAATTTATGATTTGAACACTTCAGCATTTAATTTTTTTTGTTATCATCCACAATTTAATATATATATACATAAAATAGTGATATAAAAGATGAAAATATTGATGTCAAATGGGTTTTTGGGGATTTAGATCCGATTGATTTTAAATTAAGATATTTTCTTATTTTATTGAGTTCATCTAATCTAAATTCAAAGAATAACCCTGTTCAGCATAAAATTAAAAGAATATTTTCTTATTTTATTGAGTTTTTCAACTCTAACCCTGTTCAGCCCAATTCTACTGAGCCGGTTTAGGGAGAGCGGGTGATCGAGTACATAAATTGAGAATTTTATTAAGAGCACATGTACCAAAGATTAAAAATAAAATTATGATTTATATAAATTTATATAAGTATCGCATTTGAATAAATTTATTTTAGATTTAAAATATATTTTAGATTTAAAATATATTTTAAATTTATATAAATTCATTTACATAAGTCATTTACTCATTATACTCAAATTTAATATTTTAAACAGACCTATTACTATATGCTAAAGATATGAACAAATATTCTGCTACATAACTTATCATAACAACTTATATAGTAGCAATATATTATAACCAAAATTTGTAGAGTAATTTTATGTCATTTGTGTATATGTGATATATCATATGATGAAAATTATAAATAAACAAATGACAATTGCTAAATAAATTTTGGTTATAATATATTAATGCTAATATATCTCCAGAAATCACTTATTTGTCACCAATCTCCATGTAGTATTTTGTTCTAAAATTTTAGGAATTAATTTTATGATAATCAGAACTCCGATTTTAATAAATTTGTAGTTGAACTATACATTTTTTCTTTCTTAGCTTAAATCAAATACTTAAAAAATAATTAAAAACAAATAATATCCAAGTTTTGCTTGTTTATAATTAGATTAAGTGAATCGACTAGGGGAATCTAATGAGTTTAATATCATTAAATTTTAAAGTCATTAAAATACTTAAATATTGATTATATGATCTATGATCAAGAGATTTAATATGAGCCGTTCGATTGAATGTTTTAAATTTTGATTAAGTTTATTAAAATGATTATCTCGAAAGTTAGAATTGGAATCTCATTTTGTTTATTAAGTAGGTTTCCAAGTTGAGATATTTTAATAACTCTATAGTTTTGCCTCAAGAATATTCTCTCCAATTATAACCACCATAAAAAATCGAGATTGCCATTTAACTAACCATTAAAATATAAACCCTGCAATTTGAATTTAGCTTTCTATCTATGGACACTAACTTCTATTATATTGTTGCTTGGTCAATTGACGTTGCATAATCGTCTTCACCCTCCATCACATTTTTTATAATATTGCAATGGAAATCAAGTAATTATTCTTAATAGTGTACGTAATATTATCTTCTTCAATTGCATAGAATTAAGAAGAACCAACTCTTATATATCTAATAATATAATAAATTATTACAATTGGGTCAGATCCTGTAATTTTTTGTCATTTTCAAATTTGTTAGATAAAATATTATGATTATTTTTTACCATTTCAAGATTTGGCATCGCGGCAATAGAGAGAGAATATTTTACATGTTAGCGGTAAACTAAACCTCAACACGGAAACATGGACGGATCCCCATTACATTGAGGGGGGGGGGATATTTTGAAATATTTTAGATATTTTGGGTATTTTGCCTTCTCTCAAAAAAAAAAAAAAAAAAAAATTACCCTAATTTTATCAATGCCCATCCCTTACATAAAAAATTTTTTTGCCCACCCTAAAAAAACTAAAAAAAAAAACTGGATCCGCCTCTGCACAAACAATTAATAACGTCTCTTACAACATACATTTAGCATGCTAAATCTTCATAGAAGGCTAAAAGATTAAAAACTCTCTCTATTGCGGTCAATTTTCTAACACAACAATTATTATAAAAGTTGTAATGATAACTTATTAGAAATATGATCATATCTTATCAAATAGTTTTGAATAAAATTATTATATTTATGTTTAAATGAATAAACAACATATTACTATATTAGTTATGAATAATAAACAGATAAATTTATATATATATATTTTAAAATAATACTTAGTGAACCAAACAATTATATAATTTATTACAATTATCACATTTATATGTAAATAAATAATTTATTCAAATTCATAACTTTGAAATAAAAATCTAGACAAACTAATTTCACGTTATATTTTTTGTCAAACAATATAAAATAATAAATAAATGATGCCAAACGCTCCACGTTTGAACTATTTCCTTTCGAGTTGGCAGCCTGAAGGGCATAAAGGTAATTTAAATTCGAACTTACAGAAAAACAAAATAAAAATTCGCCGACTCTGCAGACTGCCGTGGACGATTAAGCTGGCCAATTTCTAGATACTTCTACAACATTCCAACCCACCCCTTTAATTTCCCTTTCCATTCTCGCCGAGCTTCTCCATTCTAAAAATCTATCCTTGATTCCATCTCTTCTTCCTCTTCCTCTTCCTCTATTTCCTTTAACCATGGCGTCGGATTCGGACAGAGAAAGAGGAGCAGCGGCGTTCTTCTCCCACCTCTTCAGAGCCACAATCTCTTCTGACATTTCAGAAGAAACGCAGATCTTTCACCCGATCATCGTCGGCCTTCTGAGCGGTCCATTTTCCCCTGAAGACGGTTCTCCGTCGGATCGGATTCTGCTTGTCCACCCGATTTCCCGTCGAGTTGCGGTGCTACGCGGCGACCCCAACCTTTTAACTGAGTTGCTGTCAGTTAGCGCCGGCCGGAAAGGGCCCCCGCCGGCGACGAAGGCGTCGATTGAGGCGATGCGGACGGTGGAAATTGCTAATCCCGGGGAGGAGTGCTCGGTGTGTTTGGACGAGTTAGGGCAGGCCGTGGTGAAGGAGATGCCGTGTAAGCATCGATTTCATGGGGATTGCATCGATAAGTGGTTAGGGTTGCACGGAACATGCCCGGTATGTCGGTATTGTATGCCGGCGGAGGAGAGTGGATCTAAGAAGGTAGCTGGTGATGGTGATGGCGATGGACAGGAGGTAGAAAGGGCGGTTTGGTTTGAGATTACTTTCGGAAGAGGGAGATCAGGCGATCGGGATCAGGAGCATGAACAGCAAGTGGGAGAACAAAGTGTTGATAGTAATAGTGTTTGAAATTATTTTTTTAATCCTGTTCTTTGCGATTTCTTTCAGTTGGATTGTTTTTACATTGGGGAAAGGTAGATTTATGTACAATGAATTATTTTATAAACAAGAAGCTAGATTCATTCTGAATTTCTGCTAAATCTTCGCACATGCAGGGTTTTTTTCTTTGAAAATATGAGGAACATGCCCAGTTAATTTTAGTACAAATTAAAAAAAAAAGATTTATGCAGCACAGAAATTAATCTAACCACTGTGGATTGAATGTATAGCTTCAGTATAACAGCAGTAAATTTTTAGTTTGTTAATAGCTGTGACATTATCAATGATGGAGCAGAGAGTAGCCAAGAAGGAAAATTGAACTCACAAGAAAGAGAAGACAGGTTGGTTGAGTTACAGGAGTGGTGCTCAATAATTATAGTTCTGTAGACAGGCAATAGCAGTAACGGAAATATAGCTTGATAATATGTTAAAGCAAAATTCAAGTCCAATATGGAATATAAGGTGGCCAGAAAACGTAAAAATAATCAGTCAACATAAGTAAAAAAAAAAAAAAAAAACTCGCAATCAAAGGATGCATAGTGGTGGTAAAATAAGCTTATAAAAAACACAAATGAATAAGTATGGATATTGAACTTAGGGGTGTCAAAATAAATTTTAGGTTGGTTTTTGGGTCTAGTTTAAAATTAACCCACTTTAAATTGACCCAACCCAATAAGATAAACCAGTCCGAAATTCATACATAGACTCAACTTGCCTCTAACTCGGGTTGACCTGACCTGCTAACCTCGGTGGCAGCGAGAGGGTGAGGTCGTGACTGCAAGGGTGAGCCGCATGTGGCCTTGTTGAGACTCGCAAGCAAGCGGGCTTGTGTAATGTGGAGGTGATCGTGTCAGGATTTGAATCCTAAACTCAACTAACTTTCCAAGAAGGTCGACAAATTTGGAATTGTTGGGTCGTCTGATTCGGAAATTTAGGTAATGTCTAATATTAACACTCATTTTGGTATCTTTTATAGGGAATTTTGTTTATTGATATTGTAACAACATGGACTTTTATAAAAAACTTAATTTAAACTGCACTGCAACGTTATGCTTATGAGCACAATGATGCTAGGAGGCATTGGTTAAGTGCTGTCGCGATGTTGAGCTCTCTAGAATTCTAGGAAAATAATTCGGCGCAGTGGTGTTAGGTTGGTGTTGCGACGCAGAGCCATGTCACATGCATGCGGCGTGCGTTTGGTCACATGGGCGCTACATCGTTAGGCACTAAATAATATTTTTATATATATATTTAAATCCCACTCAACCATCACCATTCCACCCCTTGAAGAGGAGAGAGGGAAGAGAGAGAAGGTTAATATGCGCTTTTTTATCCGCCAGTTATGTTAAAATAAGTTTGATTTCTCAAATCCTATCTTAAAAATGTTTAAAATGCATTATTTATTTATTTATTGAATTTCTATCGTGTAAATTTTTTTATACATGATAGATATAATTCTTATGTCTATTTTAATAATAACATTGTTAAATTTTATCGAGTAAATTAATAATTATGATTTTTTGAAGCTAATTAATAGTATATTAATTGATAAACATTCATAATATTTCATGAATTATTTTAGTTCATATATGATATTTAAAATAAACTATATATTTAAATCCCACTAATGTAATAGCATGACATATTATATGTGATGTCCAAGAATCTATTTTGGAAGAATTATTCTTTGATCTTTTAATAAACAACACGAGAGCTATCTAATTTCCTTTATCATTTAAATAACAACATAAATAAACAATCAATCAAAATATCAATATATATATCCATATTCATTTAAAAAAAAATCATGTACACTATTCGGGATCTATACAATCATACCACATTACTCTATCATGAGTACAAAAAATAGCTAAAAAATATGAAACCTAAGGAATATTGGTTAATCTCACACTTCTGATCCTCAGCCTCAGCCTGAAAATATTACTAAAAAGTCTAGCTGGTCATCAAAATCTAAACTAAACTCAACACAAGGTAAAAGAGTAATATTCAAGTCAATAGTCAAAGCATAGCAGTTGCATTCATATGATCATTGAATCAATACAGAAATAGCAAAATCGTAAGTCATGGAAGATAATAAATCAATACGAGTGTCAAATCAATAAAAAAATTTGGTTAGAAAATATTAAAATGACTTTTTTTTTAGATTTATATGTGTTGAATCTTAATAGGGTTGATGTAGAACTAAATGCGTAGGTGCAATGTTGAAATTAAATGCCTTTTAAATTAGAGCAACAATAATTAAGTTTACTTTTAGCGATTTTAAACAAATCTTGAAACAAGAAAGAGGTGATTCAAGCTTAGGTCAAATTACACGATAAGAGTTGGAATCATGAATAATCAGTTCTAATCAAACTTAGCATAGCATGGGAGAATTTCAATAGAAATTCCTAAATTAACATTTAGACTAGTCACTAATTGGATTCATTCACTCACTCTCTTGATGTTTGGTTAAGCAGAGATAAATTACACAACCTTTATGATACCACAATTGAGGGAGAACTTCAGAAGAAATATGATTAGGAGAAGAGTTTACCTTCATCTGGAGTATTGGAACTTCTGGGCAGCAAACAACAATCTCTGGACAACAAAATGACGAAAGGATGTTGCTGACTGTCGGCTATGGAGAAGGGGAGTTGGGTAAGGGTTAGGTAAGGGTGGTTGTTGGCTTGTGGGGTGGAGGAGGAGGGGATTGGCTTGGCCGGCGGCTTCTGGTGGGGATATGGCCGGCGGGTAGTGGAGAAGGACGAGAATTATATAAAGAAAGTTAACCACAAGCCCGGACACTTCGTGCGGCTGATGGGTGCTCCGTTGCCCTCACCTAGGAACTTCAAATAATCTTAAACGCTCTCCAAGACACAATGCAGGAAAATTTCATAATAACATTCATCATCCCCTCAAAAGATGAGGAGGAGGCTTTAAATAGCTAATATATAATGAAGGAAACACAAGACAAACATGCCACTAGGGCTTACATAGGACTACTCCCTCAAGTGAGGATACAAATAGAAAATATGGAGTAATAGACTCAATACAAACATAATAATAAATCTAATACAACTGATGGCTCAAAAGTAAAGGGGTGCAATCATGACCATAAATCGTTGACCTCGTTTATAGTAAACTTTCCATGATCGGATGTTCTCGTCAAGGAGATAATGGAGAAAAATGATTCATGTAGCTGGCCCAACATAGTGGGATAAAAGCTTGATGTCGTCATTCCTGGCCTCTCCAAAAGTTGGTGAGAGTAAGAGTCAGGGCTTGGTAAGTTGAGAATTCATGGCAACTAAAACAACAGTGAGCAAAAGTGTCACAAGCTTTACAAGTGGATGGTTTCTATTCATACAGAACATGTTAGATGACCTATTTTCCAATAATATCCAAAGTTAAATAACATAGTAGTTCAGAGGTTGTGGAGATTTGGATGTTAACTCTAGCAAAGGTTAATTTAGTCATTTTCTCATTTAGCGGGTTGAAGAATAGGTGAGAGTCAATTTTACGAGCAACTTTTGATATCCTAGATTCATACCAACCACATAGGAAAAGATTAGGGAATTTCAACCAAATGGTAATTTCCTTAAAATACTCATTTAGGAGTCTATTTTTTTAAACAAAAAAGATTTGTCATTGAAGAACCAATGACTCCCATTTATAACCATATATGTCTTCATTACAATTGAATTTGAACAAAAAAATTCATTCTTAAGTGAGAGGAGTTGAAGCATATCTCATTACTCCCAAATCCTACTAACAACTTGAAGAAGGTTGTTGTAAAAGAGACGCTTACTAACAATGGCATAACCAATCAACTCCATATGTCAAAATTTTGCTTCATTTTCAATTTCTTCGTCGATGTAATAATAAAGTTCAAAGAGAGGTTTCAAGGGAAAGGAATATTTGATTGAAGAAGAATTTTCCTATTCATAGTATATGGGTATTGTGGCTAGGATTTTTTTCTCATCTCGGCACATGTCGATTTTGAATCTAGTACTACTTAAAGCATGTGATTCCTAGAGGTTCAACCCTTCAACCAAATTTTAAAAAATTGAATCATGAATTAATCATAAGACCGGCATGATCCAGTCTGAAAAATCGCTTCAGCGTAAAATTGAATTGATCTAGTCGAAATTGCCGATTCAACCGACGAACAAATCCAAATTCCTTTGAACCAATCAGTTCAACTACCGAATTATATAAATTAATTTATTACATTTAGAATTAAATATTAAATAATATTTGTAATTTAAAAAAATCAATTTAAATTTAAAATACTTAAGTTTTTAATAGGTATGAAATTCTTATAATAATTATTTGCCTTAAAGCACCACTTAAGCATCCTCACATGATCCTATCACTCTATATGAGTTACTCTATATGAGTTATCAGAGGCAAACCAAAAAAGTTATATAAATAATAGTAAGAGAAAGAAGTTTCCAAATGATGTGGGATTAAATTGAAAAGTTAAGATTATGAAACTCCAAGTGATTCTGAATGGGGAGACAATAAGAACAATAGAAAATTTTGATGAGCAATTCTTTGTATTCTTCTATAAATTCGTCACAATTATGAGAATATTAAGGCTTCATTTGGGACGTTTTCTTACTGCTTCTTAAAGTTGTAATTTTTTAATTAACAATCTGCTTTAAGAGGCAATAAAAAAATCATCTCAACCGAAACCTAAATGAGATCTAAAAAGTTGCTTTAAAAAACAGTAAAAAAGCCGTTCCAAACGAAGGCTTATTTTGATTATTAATATTCAAAACCACTTAAAGTTTGCTAGATTCAATCCCAAACACCCAAAAACTCAATCCTGACTACATTGAACTAATTCAAATACATGGCGAAAACTAATCGCAAATTGAAGTGCTAATTTTGTTGAAAAGGTCATATATGTCGTCATGTCGAGAAGTAGGTGGAAGTCATCTAAACACACAGGATAAAAAAAATACAAAACAAAAAATAAAATCAACACAGAAAAATAAATAAAAACTTAATGCAGGTTTATCCCATTTATGACTATTTCTAGTGTGGTCATTATAAAACTTAAAGGCAATCAAAAAATACAATAGAGTTTTTAAAACATTTCTAATGAAACAACTATAAATATAAGATGACGTGATAAAATCTATGTAGTATCTGTGGGAGATTCTACATCTTAATAATGTCTTACTCATTGGTTTGATGGGGAGATCTGTCATCTCGGATCCTTCATTCTTTTTTTTGGGACATTTAGGCCATTTAAGGCAAACACACACTCAACGCATACACATAGACTCGAACCCTGAACCTCTTAGTTGGAAGCCAAAGCTCTCAACCAATAGGCCAAAGAGAGTTGTGTCGGATCCTTCATTCAACTATCATGACTTCTGTTACATTACAGGCTTTGATTTCAACTGATGGAGGATGATTCAACAGTGACGCGTACTTTCAACTTGCTTCTTGTTGCCATTGGCAGAGCTTGTAATCCCATTCTTTGCAAGTTTATCTTTCTGAGAAGACAGAGCTCTTTCAGCTGTACAATTTCAATTCAGTTAGAAGCGAAATTTATTGTGAGAGAGGGAGGAAAGATGCCTGCAAGTGTCTCTTTAGATGATACAGAGTCGGTCTAGGAAATCCCATTATCCTTATTATTGGCTCAGGTTTTGCTTCTGCCATTGAAAAAGAAAAGAACCAGCTAACTGAAACATGAAACCAGCAAATGCTAGGAGAAAACCAGAAGATTTAGGCTTCGTTTGGGATGGCTTTCTTATTGCTTGTTAAAGTAGCTTTTTAGTAAAAAATTTAAGTTTTTATACTAAAAACTGCTTTAAAAAGCAGAAAAAAAGTAGTCCCAAACAAAACCTTAGGCTACTTACTGTCAACATCTCCAAGCTTGTTGACTGCTTCGATGAATCTTTCATCAGCCGAGAGATCCAGCCCCTGTTCGTCTACTTGGTACAATCCAGTTTAATGAAATGCAAAAAAAGTAGGAGTAAGACCCATCACTCATCATCATTCATACAATAGGCATTGAGGATCCTAATCTTCTTGTATACAAGATAGAAACATGCATGAAAAAGGCGTGCAAAATCTTTTTTCTACACCATGTCATCATATTTGATAATAAATTTACCTCCTTTCTTTCCAGCTCTTTTGGTTGAAAGGGAAAGAATCTTCACTGTAGTAGAAATAAAAGAAAAAATAGGTCAAATGAACTCTAAAAAGGAGGGAAAAGAAGAGGATGCTTTATTTTCTTGCTTTTTTCTTACTGGATTCTCTCCTTTCTAAGATAGCTACACCTTAACGAATAATCAGAGCTTGATTTTCTTGCACTTACACGGTGCTTTAAATAGAATCATTATGAAATGCTTCTCTGAAATTCGCAAAGCAACTAGAAAATGAGTGATGCCAAAAGGAAATTTAACATTAGCCACAGTATAACTTTAATGGAGATGGAAAATTACCATTGGCTCTTCTTATGATGATGCTCAAGGAATCCAATCAATATCTCAGAAGTAGGGAGAAATACAAATCATTTTGTCTATTACTCCATTCAACTAAATAAGAAAAAAAATGTTAGAAACTAAATCTCCTTTTCAAGGATAGCTATGACTAAAATCTACGAAAGATGAAAACTAATGTTCTAATCAGAATCAATCTTGTTGGATTCAAATGTGTCCATGAGTGACACCTGACTTTACTAGCAGGCCTACTTGGTGAGCTGAAACCTATGTGAGAATGAAGAGTAGGAAGAGTACTAGAGAGCAAGAGAGAATATGTGAAAAGCTGAAAAAAATTATGAATCTCAAACCAGCATAGAATCCACTAGAATCAGTCAAAAAGTCCTAAACTGCTCCTCATCACCTCTTATTTATAAGATTATGAGGGCCACATGAAAGGCTACATAAAAAGAGAAAAATATACCGCTACACAAAACATCTATAAATTGCTACATGAGCTACGCTAAACACATGTCGTCCTCTGATTCGTTGAAGGAGTGTATGGACAGAAGGGCCACAGTAAGTGATCTCTGGGCGAGCTCAGTAGTGCCGAGTAGATTGGGGCAACTCTATAGGTGAGCACTGAAATGAGGGGGACTTGCAACCAACAGGCTTGTTGACATTGCTGATGATTTGCATGAGAGATCTCAGATCACCTAAGAAGATAGAGAGAGGGGCAAGTGCGATGTTGTCACGAAAAGGAAGAGGCATTGAATTGAATGGTCATGGCAAATGAGTTAGGGTCCCGTGAATAGGCACTTAACTATAGCTGAGCTCAACAAACTTGCATGAGAAGGATCGCCTTGGGGGAGAGCAAGTAATTGATATGGTGGTCCAAATATGTGATGAGTGTTAAGCAAGCCAGATGAGGAATCCTCCATCCACCTATGCAAAAAAGGGTTGAGCTACTTAGCGGTCCCAAGAAAGTAGCATTTGTTGATTATTGTGGGTGAGTTCTCTTGCAAATTCCAGACGAGTAGCACCTCTTGGATTGTTAGGAGAGTTCTGTTGTAAACACCCCATTGTGGGTGAGTTCCATATGATTTGTTGGCTACTAACTAAGGCTTCGTTTGGTTATTTAATACTTTTGTAAAAGACAGTTTTAAGAAACATTGATTTAGAAAATGGAGTTTTCTAACAGAGAAACATATATAAAAAGCTTTCTCAAAACAGTAGAAAAATAAAAAAAAAAAGAGTTATTGGGAATGCGATTTGACGAACCAAACAGTAAAGAAAGAAATAAATTCGTCGTTTTAAAATAGAATAAGCACCAAAAACCTCCAATCAAACGAAGCCTTAATACTTGAGAAGGCATATACGAGACTACAAATCCTTTAGGCCAAGGTTGTTTTTAAAGTGAAATAATTATAAACAATACATCAACACTAATCATAAGGAGACTATGGAGACTTCATAGTTCATTACTTCATATGCTTTTGTATGGTATTGTTTGAGCAATAACAGCACGCATAGAATTTTTAACTATCTCGGATGGAAGTATTTCCCACTACCATGAGTTACATTTCAAAATTAGTTGGAGTCTGGACTCTGAAGAAGCACTTTGCATTCTGCTTATAGGTTTTCAGGAGATAATACCTGGTGTTTGTTAAATAAAAATGTGGAGACAAAGATAGAGAAAATACATACCTTTTCTTAGAAATACAGGGATATCAAGATTTTTATCCTTCTGATTATGCTATTAGCTTCATAGCGCGATGACAATACACCAGAGCCTCTCTGAGCCTCTTGATATGTACTGAAGGGATAAGTATTGCCATTTTGTTCAAATATACATCACCTGTATCTAGAATTAATAGTTAAAACAATGCTTGATATTATCTTCCACATTCCAGTACTTTAATCTGGCAATAAAAGTTAAAAGATCTATTGATTGTTTTCTCTATGTTACTCTCTCTCCTAGACCATAATTTATTGAAGGAACAAACTGTGTGACGTTCCCACCAACATTGTAATGAAGGTAAAAAGTGTTAAGATTTATCTAAGAATTAAAAATAATCTCACTTAAATAACATTTAAGTTCCTAATTTGTAAGATACCATTAGTGAAGCAAAAAAACATTAAGGTGTATTTTGAAGCAAAACACGGACTCTCATTACACAGGTGTAGGATTCCTACATCCTGAGGGAACTGTTGTTGTAAGATTACAAAAATTACAGGACTTGTAGAGCAAAAGAAAATTACTTACAGTAAGGAATTTACACAAAAAAAATTCATAAAGATATGAAGTGGCAGTCAAAAAGTTAAATTCAGTAGCTAAATAGCAGTCTTAGCTGATATAAAAGCTTGAAGATTGCAGCAATCCAACTGAAAGGCAAAATGTTTTTAATTAAACAACGATAAGAATAAGTCAGCTCAAATAAAATGATTAACTTTGAGATTGTATTGGCATGATAAACACAGTTTTCCCTTGCAAGATGCAATTTTCTTTAAAGCTATAAATATATAATGCATTTGAGGCAAAAAACTTTACCAAAATGAAGATGGATGTTGCCAGCTTCCACCTGTTGGTGTTTCTTTTACCACCAAAATGAGGGCCATATGAAACAAACATCTCGAATGGCTGCTACAATAACTATTACCAGAGAATAGAACCCCAGCAAACAATTTCTCCCTAACCATTTCACCTACTTGCAAGAAGCAGAGGGGGATAGAGCAACTTGCGTTCTATAATTAATTACCAAACAGTAAGATCATAGTGTTGCAATATGATCCTCCTCTTTTATGTTACGAGGTTTAGGCTTCAGATTTCCCATCATACATGTTTAAATACGTGTAAACCCCATATATTAAATGTGTTGCAATATGACCAACATATTATTTAAAAAATAGAGACAAATTAAATTCATGTTAGTCCATCAGGACATCTTAAGTTGCAGTCATATTGTTCAAGAGCTGTACTCATGCTATAATAGGTAGAAACTCTGGATTTAACAATTTGGTTACTTCATACCTCAATATCAATATTTATGTGAAGCTCTTTTAGGCTTCGTTTGGGATGAATTTCTTATTGCTTTTTAAAGCAGTTTTTTAATACAAAAAAATTTAATTTTTATACAAAAAAACTACTTTAAGAAGCAATAAGAAGGCCAAACCAACGAAACCTTAGTTAATTTCAATAACTGAATATATGTATTATCAGAAGGGCATATCAAAAGGTAATCAAAGTTAGGCCTGATATACTAGCAGTCAAACCGATGTCCAACACAAAAGGATAGGTCTATAGATGGAACAATTATTAGGTCAGGTGACCTGACGTAGCTCTACGTTCAGACGCCAATAATATGTCGCCACGTGGTCTTACTCAATACCGCGCGGCCCGACGACTTGACCCGGGATTGCTATGTTTGCGTATTGCTTGGTATTGCTCTAGATATTGCTCGGTATTGTTAGGTATTGCTCGGTATTGCCAGGTATTGCTTGGTAATAATGAAAAATATCGCTCTGTGAAGACCAATACCGAGCATTACCGAGAAATACCGAGCAATACCGAGAAAAACTCGGTATTGGTCTTCACATAATGGTATTTCTCGTTATTGCCGAGCAAAACCGACCAATACCGAGCAAATACCGAGCAATACCTAGCAACACGCGAACATAGCAATCCCGTCTCCATTTCGGGTCGGGGTTGTCGGGCCGCGCGGTAAATAGTGAGAACACATGGAACTATTTTACTGGCGTCCGAACGTAGAGCTACGTCAGGTGACCAGACCAAAAAAAGTTCCTATAGATGAGGGCCAAAAAATGGGTATTTATAAAACATTCTATTTTTCAGCTATTGAAAGTTTGACTAAATCCAAACAAGAAGTTCACTCAATAGTCTTTTGTGGAGTGCCCAAGAACTCCTGCATGCTTTAATAATCTCTTCCTTACATAGAGCCCTACAAATCAGCCATCGCTGCTTCAAATGGAAGCTTTTAAGCATTACTATGTATACTGAACCTAAGAGCTCACTTAATCATGTGAAGTCCTCATTAGATTGAGAGTTATTTACTTTAAAATCTTGCTTAAAGCATCCAATCATATGAATTATTTGATTCCAACCAAATCATCTGTTTTAATAATACATTTTAGGAGGTGAGAAATCAAAGGGAACTAAAAATTGGGCCTAATTCCCCAATTATCAAATCTATTTCTAACTCGAAAACATAAGCTGATTTATGTAGGGCTGCATAAGAAAGGTAGTGCCTGGAGTTATTGAGGTATGAGAAATTTAATTGTGAGAACTGAGATGTGAAATTTGCCTTCTAAATTTACCGTTGAACCAATATATGTCATTAATTACATCCTCGCAACTTTCTTCAAAAGTGAAATGTTACTTGGAAGATATGGAAGAAAATGAATTCTGATGGGATCAAGGACCATCATAAAATTAGTAGAGATAACTATAGAAAAAGCAAAATTGTCTATCAGTTTTGCCTGCTTTTTTGAAGAATTTGATAAAATATGAAAGTGAAGACATTTAGAAAAAGAAATTTGATTGTAAGAAAGCTATGACAAGACATCTTCTCATCTAAGTAAACTAATACTATTCTGTAGTCATCATTCACTACCAACGAATGGAATAAGCAAAAGTTGTGGAAACTATGACTGCCGTAAACCAAAAGAATACAAATAGCTAGATTTAGTAATCACGCTCAAAATTAAAGATAAGGCACTGCAACTTCTATCTTGTTGCAACTTCAGCTAAGTTGACATATGCAGTCGTAAATTTGAAGCAATTCAAAGTAATCGAAGTTCATTGTCCCACTCAAGCGTGGATAAAATTTGATCAAAGGCTGTGATATTCCAAACATAAATCATTTTATGCAGAAAACAGGAAACATAAAATAGATTTTGAGAATGACTGAGTAGGAAATTAAAACCCGTGTGATATCTTTCTAACAATTTAACTTCCCATGATTTCTTAACTGCTTAAACTGAATTTAAGTGGTTTGCTCAACCCTTCTAGTAAAATAATAATAATGTAATTTCTTAGTTCAAGAATCTATTAAACTTCTACTGCCAATCCACCAATTTTTAGATGTCAGAAACAATAGTATTTTCAAAAGTAAGCTAAGGTTAGGAAAATAAAATTGGTACCTAAACTAACCAATAAATAATAAGGGACAAAGAAATCAATAATTAACAAAATGAAATGATAATATAAAGAAGGGATTAAAAAGGAAAATCAAGCATTTGCAAGTCTTTAAATTAAATATGAGATAAAGTCCTAAAACTTCAATCAACAGCTATGAATTTGTTATCCATTGAAAATTTGCCAGTTACTCTTAAGAAATTATTCCCGTGTAGTATACAAAGCATAGAATTAAGTATCACATAAAGTTTGTAATGGTATAAGAGGCATAAAAATAGGGGAATCAGTGCATATCAATGGGTTAGGTTAAAGCGAACCGGTGTGACCGAACTTGTTTTAGTAAACCGGTTTGACATGAACATGTTTAGCCATCCACTGAACATGTTTGATCATATACAAATTATTTTCAACTTAAGAGTTCGATAATCAGACCAATTTTGAGTTATTGAGCTCCATTCAGGTCCCAAACTGACTCAAAATTCTGATTCACATCACTTTTGAGTTTACAACAACACAAACTTGACCTTAACTTGTTGGATCAGAAACCTTAAACATGAAACTGGCCTCAATGTAAATAAACCTAAGATAAAAGAAAGGAAGCATATACATAAACCTACTACTGATATTTGTTAAACTTCAGCAAGCAAGAAATATTATTAATTAGCATCCAAACACAATTTTGTAGGGCCAAGATTTCTTACCTATGCAAACATATGCATATTGAAAAAAAATAGTGTCAGAGAATTCCTTCAAAAACATCAAAATATGATTCAAATGATGCGTTCATATTACACCACACCACGAAAAAAAAAAAATCAATAGAGCATTTGAACTGCAGAGCACTTGATATGATAATGAAGAGTTGGATAGCTGAATTAAGCCATTCAGTGAAGGTAAATAAAGGAAAAAACTATTAAAACAGAAACATTTAATCATAAGGGTAATTAAAATTTCCAGTAAAATGCTAAAGTTTAGATCCAAAATGGCATAATCCAGTACAAGCATTGTTACACCAACTTATTCAGACAAATAAGAAACTTTGTTTTACGGAAGAATATATCTTTATAAGCTGTGTTACTATCACAAATCACCTTCTCCCAGTAGGTTCTTCATTTTTGCCTTGCGTGTCTTCTTTTGCCCCCAAACTACCAATCTTCCAGCAGAACACCCACACTTTGCCCGGAATATAAGCACAGCCCTTCCATTCAAAGGTGCCATCTTTTTCAATTCAGCTGCAAGTTCTCTATTGTAATCTTCACCCAGCTCAAAGAAACCCTTATCCCCACCATCTCCACCGGGAGAATTACGCAAATTTTTCAAGCAATCCTCTGTCTCTATCTTGATGTCAAACTCTGTAGCATTCCTTAGGCCCCGACAGTTTGGATTATCACATTTTTTACCAACACAACAGTTAAAAATCCAAAGTAAGATAGAACAAGCTATCGTAAATCCAAATCCACTAACCCAATAAAAACCATTAGCAATACCCAATTCATCGTCTACTGTAACCACCGTCTTTTTCCAGAAATCAGAGAATCCGTTGGAGAAGAATTTGAGACATGGGAACAGCAGAAATCCACAAGCAAAAAGTACGACGACCAAGATGGAGATATTGGCGATCGCTGATTTCTTATTCGGGCACGGTGGGGTTTTGATTGGATTCTGTGAATTCACTTGGGCCTTCTTCTTATGGGAACGCGGGATTTGGGTCCAGACCGCTCCGGTGGCGGGAGGAGAAGCAGCACGCATGCCGGCGGCTATGTGAACGGACGAAAAATTGGATCTTGTTGAAAACCTACCGCTGAATGATCCGATTCAAATGGATTTGAGGATAATTGGAGGGAAGATGAATCACCAGAGGTGGGAAGAGTTCTTTCTCTAGGTTTGTACTTCCATACTTTACTGTTCTTCGCAGGTACTTTCTCAAAGCAAGGATAGGTATTGGACATTAGGATACTCTTTTCCATAGCAGCATTTTATATTTATTTTTTGGGATTTTTACATACCTAACACTTAAAATCAAGGTTGTGAAAATCGGACCGGGCAACGAACCGGTAGAGAGAGCGGTTCACGGTTCGATCGAACCGAATGACGTAATAAATACAATTTAGATGATATAAAAATCATATAATAATATAACTTTTTTATTAAAAAATAGATTGAATTCAAACATTACTAATATCATATATAATTTTAAATTTAAACATATTCAATTTTAAATTTATATTAACTTACAAATGAATTAATAAGTTTATTATAAATAATCCTTAATTTATGTTATATATTTATAATTTCTATATTAGATTCATATTATTATTTTACATTTATAAATTATTGAGGTTAAATTAAATCATTTATTATAAATAATAAATAAATTAATTAATATTTATGGTACATAAAAAAATAAATGATGAATATAATTTATTTTATATTATTAATTAAAAATAAATATTAATTCATCATAAAAATATTATTTAAAAAATTTATTTTAAAATGAATAGTGTATGTTGTAAACTTAAAAGTTAAGAAGAAAGATATAGGAGCTTTAGATTTTTTAGTCCCACATCACTTGGGAGACTTTCCCTTGGTGAAGCTTTT